AATGATGACGATCGGCTCATAATCACCCCTCAGGAGAAAGCAAATGCGATTGGTGAGCATATTGCCAAATCGCACTTGCTTGGCTTCAACATCCAAAGTCCGCTCGAAGTTCAGGTAGAGCAATGCGTACTCAACCTTGATTCCTCCCCTTGTGCCATCCCTCCGGAGGATAGAATCACAGTGGAACAGATTTGCTCAACGCTGAAATGCACCAAAAACATGAAGGCCCCCGGGTTTGACGGAATATTCAACCTAGTATTGAAAAATCTCAGCATGAAGGTTCACTCTCTGCTGGCTGCTGTCTTCAACAGATGCTTGGAACTGCACTACTTTCCAAGTATCTGGAAAACAGCGAAAATCATACCTATCCGCAAACCCGGGAAGGACCCAACGCTAGCTTCAAGCTACAGACCAATCAGCCTCCTTTCAGCGCTGAGCAAATTGTTCGAGAAACTTATTCTCAATCGTTTGCTCAAATTTGTCGAGGAACACAACATTCTCCTACCGGAACAGTTCGGGTTCAGGAAGGGGCACTCCACAAATCATCAGCTAGTACGGGTGATGAATAACATCCGAAGTAACAAGGCTGTATCCAAGTCTACAGCCATGGCATTATTAGACGTTGAGAAAGCGTTTGATAATGTCTGGCACAATGGGCTTGTATACAAGCTTTGTAACTTCAACTTTCCTTTGCATATTGTTAAAATCACCCGTAGCTACCTCCAGCAAAGGTCGTTTAAGGTATCGTTGAATGGTTGTCTTTCAGACACGTTTTCCATCCCAGCAGGAGTCCCGCAAGGCAGTCTGCTGGGCCCCTTGCTTTACAGCATTTACACTTCCGACATTCCTCCCCTTGGAGACGGTTGCGTGTTTTTCCTGTTCGCAGATGATACCGCAATAGCCGTCAAAGGAAGGATGCCTCGCGAAATAACGAACAAACTTCAACGATGCCTTAACGCCTTTACTGATTATGCCACCACGTGGAAAATCAAAATCAATGCTTCCAAAACACAAACAATCATGTTCCTCCATCGACAATCACCCAAACTAAAACCGGCTCCCTCTTGTACTGTAATCATGGATGGCACAAGGGTTGAGTGGTCCGCCGAAGTAACCTATCTCGGGATGTTGTTTGACGAAAAGCTCCTATTCCGCTCGCATGTGGAGAAAACAGTAGTCAAGTGTTCTGTCTTGGTTAGGTGTCTGTATCCGCTGATTTGCCGCAGATCCCGCCTCTCAAGGGTGAACAAACTGGCCGTCTACAAACAAATCATAGCACCTGCGATCCTCTACGCAGCTCCGGTGTGGGAATCATGTGCACAGACTCACAGGAACAATATTCAGGTAGCTCAGAATAGAGTGCTGAGGATGGTTCTTGATCGTCCTTTCGACACTAGAATAACAAATTTACATGAAGAGGCAGGCATTGCCAAAATAGATTCCAAAATTAACGAAATTAAGACTAAATTTGCACAAAAATGTAATTTATCAGAACATGCTTTGATAAGCAATTTGTATATAGTAGGTTAGGTGTACATATTAGTTGTAGGTTAGTTGTAGTTGTAAATAGTAGTTATAAGTAGTCTCCTTTTTCCAATTCAAATCAAACCAATCCCACCAAGGTGGTCATACTTTAAAAAAGGCCTGATAGGACTAGGAACTGTAAATAATAATTAAAATCTCAAATGCACTAAAGTTGAAAAGACGCATCTGTGTCACTTGAAAATTCATACATGTAAACCACACAATCACAAGAAATAAAGATCATTTAAATGGCAAAAAAAAAATGCATCTGCAGAGAGAGTTCGGTGTTATCAAGCCAACATGGAAGCAGTCATAGGTAATGCGTCACCATCTACTGATTGGGACGCTGGAGAAGGTCCTTCAACTCGAGGTAGGAAATTAAAATTAATTTGTATTGCTGATTACATCTAAAACTGGACTGCTCCAAAAAGTGTGTTAAAAGTGCACGTTTCGGTCAAATCGTTTTGGTGTCTTCGAAGAACTTATTGCTTGCATCATAATGGATAAGTGCACTGAAGACACCAATACAAATAGAATGAGACTCGCACTTTGGTCAGACTTTTTAATAAATGAAAACGCACTTAATAGACCACTTTGGGGTGAAATGCGCAGTAACCTTTGGAACCGCATACGTTCGAAATTTAAGGTAGAGTAATGAATTTTAGTTGGACCTAATTTTACCGGCGCTAATTTAGTCCAAGAAAGTCTAAGAAACTTCTTCTCCAAGCCCAATTTATGTTGAACTAAGAACCTACTTATTTGAAACCAAACGTTTGATTTGAGAAAAGTCAAAGTATTCTATTTTGCATCATTCTACAACCACGCTGTAAAGTACATATTAATGATACATGCTAATTTCATGTTAGGGTTGTCCTTCAAATTGGAGAAAAGGAGGTGCTTAAACCCCGTATGATCGTTGTACCCCTTCCTTCCCTACTTCGCTGACATATGAACCAACATTTTGTTCAATATTGAAAGTACCTTATTCTGATAAGGAAAACAACTGCCTGTTGCGTTATCATAAAATGCAACCTTCACTCTCTTCTCTGCTTCAGAGGCCTAATTCAAAACTAATGATGGAGCTACTGAAAAAATAGCGTATTTTTTGCGAATTGATTTATCCCACTACATGCATGGCGTTTTTGTGTATCATACTGAGGTGCAAATCAACAAAAAATGTGTGACGAAATAGTGTCAGTTCCTATTGTAGTTGATTTAGAATTTAGTGCATATTGATCACAGCAAAATAGTTCAACATTGATCAACCTAATGTCAATATGTAGGGAAGATCATGTCAATTCTTAACCATTACATTAAATTTAAATACATTATCTCAAATGTGTAAATTGTTTTGAGTGAACCATAACCGAAACATTGAAATACTTGATTTTTTTAAGATAGTAATATAATATAAAATAGTATAATAGTCAAAAATGTCATACGTCATACTGCGGTCGTGTCTAGGACACAACCTTTTTTTTAATAGCTCCTTACTTGAAAACGAGCATAAACACACCCGTAGACTGCTTTCTTATCGTAAACAGTGTGGTAATACAATAATCAATAAATTTTCTCATCATTCAGTGGAAGAACATTCATAAATGTTAGTAACATAAATTTTATTGTCCATATTAAATTTTCTATGCAAACGCTGATCGTAACAAACTTTATGACGTCACTACAAGGGTGATTGAGCGAATGAAAGAAACGAATCGTGCGTAGCGGAATGTAAAGGCCCACGCACATTAGATCCGGATCGGACGCGTTGCTGCAAAGTGACAGCTAAATCTATTGTCTAACTGTCAAATTTACGTCAACGCAACGCAAACGGATCTAATGTGGGTGGCCCTTAAGTCGAGTGAAAAACGAAGTACACCACTACATTCAGCCCTTAAATTCAAAACCTTGTATTGACCAGGTTATGTAAGAACTACCGAATGATCACTATTCTCAACCTCGTTCTCAACGTGATTTTCAAATCATCTTCCGCCGTCTATTACCGTCAGTGTTCGGAAAATCTTTCTCAAATCTCATTCATAGAGGGACTATTGGGGACTTAGGGGATAAAAATGCGTGCGAATCTGGCAAACTAATCTCACGCTTGAGATTCTCATGCATTTTCACGTACTCACACTCACAAATACCAGCTTAAAACTCATAAAAATCACTCAATTGTCAATTGATAACTTGCTCATGCATGTTGTGTTCCACTAAACAACAACCTCATGGAATTTGTGGAACATTTTATTCAAACACTACAGCTGCAAGTTTTCACATTTCTACTTGTTTTGATATAAAGAATGCAACAACGTCATATACCTAGTGTTTAATTTAGAATTGGGCCTCCCCTAGCTCAGTCGGTAAAGGCGTAGCTATAAAGTAGGACTATACTGGAGGCAGCTGGGTTCGGTTCCCGATCCGGGCTAAGAATTTTACATGTTTTTCTATTTATGTCTACATCAGTTTCTGACTGAAGTTGGACGTCTGTTCTCTCTTGTTGAGTGCCGGCGTAAAGTCCCAGTAGGAACGTAATTAAGCCAAAGAAGAGTTAATTTAGAATCCTTAAAAAGTGTAACTTGCATCCTGAAATGCTGAACCTCGTATAATCGTAACTGAAATAACATGATATGCGATGCTTTCTCCCTTCTAGCACCGGTTGCTTCCTCAGCTTCGCCACCGACACGACCGGCTTCTACAACCGGTTTCCCGGCATCCGTTCCCGCATCGTTACGCTCGACTTCCACCTGCTGGTGCCGGTCTTCCGGGAACTGTGCTTCAGCTGGGGTGTGGCATCCTGTTCCCAGAATGGCATCACGCACCTGCTGGAAAGTTCAAACGATCCCAAACACCCGGCCAATTCCGACGGTTTCACATCGAACGCGGTCGTCCTGATCGTGGGCGGTGCAGCCGAATCTCTGAACTGTCGACCCAACAACTTTCAGCTGGTGCTGAAGAAGCGCAAGGGATTCTGCCGGATTGCGCTGAAAACCGGCACGGCCATCGTTCCCGTCATCAACTTCGGTGAGCTGGATCTGTTCGATCAACCGGCCAATCCTCCGGGGTCACGACTGCGGCGCTTTCAGGAGTGGGTGAAGGCTACCACCGGCATTGCTCCGGCTGCATTCGTTGGACGTGGCTTCTTCCAGTATAGCTACGGGTTGATTCCGCGCCGAAAGCCGATCAATACGATAAGTGAGTAACAGTGGAATAAGTCGTTGAATGATTAATAATGGTTTTCTTTTTCTACAGTTGGAGCTCCCCTCGAAGTGCAGAAGGTAGACGACCCATCCCAGGATGAAATTGAACAGTTACATCAGCGTTTCTGCAATGCTTTGGAAGAACTTTTCGAGAAACATAAGAGCAAATATGTTAAAAACCATCAGAACGTTAAGCTCAAGCTAGAGTAATAGTTAGTTAAATTGTTGAGTTAGTCAATTAGGAATTTAGTGGAAAACAAAGCCCAAAGAAGCAAATAGCTCGCTCACTTGCACATTTATTTATAGTCATCATGAAAGCATGTAGATTATATGTAGTAAAGTAATACAACATGTGATTGTATGGTTTGTAAATGCATCACTGATTTTTTGTTTGTTCTGGAAATATATCGTTGATTGTATTAAGAATTTGTTAAATCAAAAGACGGTAGTTTCACTTCAATTTGAGAAGCTCCATGAGTGAGTTGGAATATTGCTGCAACTGATCTACGTGTCTGTAGCCAGCAATCCCGGCAGCTGCAATGGTCAAGATGGAGGAGCAGTATAAGACGCGAGTCAGGATCTGAAAGAAATGTGTTGAACGATTTGAAACTCAAGTCACTTTCCCAATTTGCTTAAGAGTTGTTAAGAGTGCATACCTTATCCTGCCACTTGCGGTTCGCAATGCATTTACTGTAGTGCATGTGGGAGAATGATACGGAATTGTACAGTGGAACCCAGGTGTTTGGGAGCAACCAGAACAGGAATTCATCCAACTTCTTTCGGAATAAATAGGATCGTTTGGTTACGAGGTCCCTCATCTGAAAATGAAAATATGTTAGTTGATTAATTTCGCTCTGTTTTTAGGCTCATGAAACATCAATCAAGACTGTTTCTTATCGGATCTTGAATCTTCCTGAAGCATTCCGTAGCGTTGCTGAATGAATCATGGATACCGCCACACAAAGGCAGGCCTCCATACAAAATTCGGACGAAACCTAAAATGTTCCAGAATCTGGCTGAAAAGCACATATCAGGCATAACATTTGAAAACGGCACAAAAGCATTTGTAAACAAACTTTCTAAGGCCCTTTACACGCGAACCAAAGTACGCCCACGCAAACCAATACCACTTTCGGAAAGGTGATAGTTGCACCTATCCGATAATGTTGTTGGTTTGCGTTGACGTACTTTGGTTCGCGTGTAAAGGGCCTTAGAAAGTTTGTTTACAAATGCTTTTGTGCCGTTATCAAATGTTATGCCTGATATGTATGTAGAAAATGTTGGGATGCTGATTCCATTTTAGGCGTCGGAAGCCTTAAAAAATATAAACTCGGGTATTGAGTAACACAGGCAGAACGTATTTAAAAAAACAGATTAAGGCATGTTATTTTTATCGTAGGGAAAGTAGGAATGGGGATGTTCGACTGTATATGGTCCTTGATTTGTTTAAAGAGTTGTATTGATGATTACCAAAGCAGCGGTAGAAAGTATAAAAAAAATTGCATATTTCAAAAATTTCAATGTAGTTTGAGAACAGTCTAGGGGCTGGTCACTCCGCATAGTGTGCCAAAAACATGCTTGGGCACACCTGGGCATGCTCATTGGTACTGTTTGGCACCCATTGCTTAAATTTTTCTGATCGTAAAGTTACTGGCAACAGTGAACTTTTTCTGCGACTGCGGAGTGTGCATGCGTCAAAAATTGTTACTGATGTTGCCACAATCCAATTTTTACAAAAGTCCCACGATGGATTCTCCAAAATCAGATTGGATTCCTCAAAACAGTCAATTCACATCCTAATGCTTGTCCGAAGCAGTAGGTACATAATTCCGCGTCGGACTGTGTACAATTCAGAGCAATCACTGGAGCAGTGCTGAAAATGATCAACATCGCTTGCATAGCAACACCCCTCTCTCAGCCTCAATCAATGTTCATCCAAGATAGTTTAGAGCCGATCCTTTAATGCACGATTTCCCTATACTTAATACATTGGATGTCACAGATTTTACAACTCCGCATCCCCCATGAGCGTGACGTACTTAATGGATGCCGTTTATCACCCTAACCCTTGAAAAAGTTCTCATCCCTTCCGAATTCACATCCTCCAGCTCCGTTATCAAAAGTTACAGACTCCCGTGACGGCAGTCTCGTCCACATTTCGACCTATCTGGGCTCAATCCGTTCATTAGATCTTTAGAACAGTGAAAAGACGGACAGTTAATAGCTAACAAAGAAACAATACCATCCGACCTCGCTTTTGCCTGGAACTGCTCGAAGACATATCAAGCTATCCCACGAAGAACGCGTTACCCACTGAGTTGCACCCACCGCTTTTTCTCGGCGGGGTTTCAACCAGTCGGTCTGGTTTTTTGCATGTGTGTAGGGTCAATGGAGAACTAGTCACTCGCAGAAAATCAGAGCGCTTGGTTGAAAACCCACCGAGACAAAGCGGTGGGTGCAACTCAGTGGGTAACGCGTTCTTCGGGGAAAAGCTGTATGTTTTGCCTGGTCCCTCAACGGCCGCGGCTGCTACACCAGCCATTCCATCGTCCAGCATAGAATGTTGCAGGATCGTCCTGGCAAGGTATGGTATGGTATGAATCTCGAAATGGGATTGTTGTACCTACTCCAGCCTCATCTCAGGTTTTGAAAAACAAAACAAAAACAAGAGCTGTCGAAATACCGGATTGCCAAACAAGGCATTATTCACAAGCAGACAAATGTCAGTTCAATTACTTATGCTGGCACAGTTGCGGCACACTGAGAAAAAAGGTGGCGCAAAATAAGTTTGTAGAGTGACCACCCCTTGGGAACAGTCCCTATTCGAAAAGTTCATGATTGAACGAAGTAGGCTGTGCCGGCGAACGTTCATGTTTGTTTTTGTTGTCCGGATTTTTTCTCGTGATTCCCCGTTCTGCAGTGCTTTTAATGAAGAACAATCCCCAGTTCAGTTTTCGAGAAGTGTGTTTTGATTTGAAATGTTAGTTTCTGTGGAACGTTCTACTAGTGAACTGCAATTGCGCTCTACATTCCGCGCAGCATCCAGGTCATTACGGAACCAACCGTTATGGATCAGGTAAAGCCTGGGGGCAAGACAGCTTTCGAACACGGGTAAAATCGGAGTTAATTTCGAGTAACTCTGAGCAACTCGCGTTGATCAATATATTATACACATAGCAACCTGAATGTTATATTGAAAACAATGTTGAAACTGATGCTGTCAAGCAAAGTAAGTTGACGTGTTTTCCAGTTTTGATCGATGAGCCTCAAAGTAAGTACCTATTAATTTAAAAAGGAAACTTATAAATTATTTGAACTATATTCCAAAAGTGCAGAAGATTAATTTGTCGTTCCACTTACGCAGGAATACTTTTGGGAAATGTTCTCCCCCTCTTTAAAAACATTCTGAAGCTGGAGGGGCTAGCAGCAAACGGTGCGCTAGCAATGCTTACCCGGGAAGACGTTTCGGCGAAGGAATTGCAAATGCGCTTTCGTATACCACGTGTACGAAATGAAATTCAAGCTGCCCCTTCAAAGTCGACGGAAGATTTTTATGGTGATTATGCCAAACAGCAAGATAAGCTCAACATCGACGATCGCCACCATCGATAACACGTAGCACTACATTCGCAGCATATAACAAGAACGACGAAGAACCACCATCGTGGACCTCGGACCTAGACGACTCAGCAGAGTAGCAGTGGGTTTAATTGGAATTTCTGTGTAGGAACTTAGGTAGGAACTTATAGTGCAGTTCGATAGGTTCGAATTAAGCTAAAATAATTCAATAAATTCATTCTGTGTGTAACGTTAGAGTAATGTTAGTAGCAATTTATATTTTTTATACATCCAGAAACTCGGGGAAAACGTAATTTATACAAATTTATAAATATAATAGAATACATTCCTGTATATTTATCAACAACATCAGAACACAGTGCCTTCCCATTTTTGGCAACATATGATTTTTGTTTATTATGCAATCTATAAATTCATAGAATGCTCTATTCGATTTATGATGTTACTCGACCATGCTTTAGGAATTAGACGCCGGATATTTCATGAAATATTATATAGAAAACATGGGCGAAAAATTTAGGCAATAAACAGATGGTGACGGCACTGTATTTAGTTATTGGCCATGGCATGATTTTTAATGTTAACAAACTCCACGAAGTTGGCCAGAGCTGACCTAATCTGGCCTGAAATGAGCAGCTAAATAATATACCACAAACAACAGCGTCTAATTTGTGTAAAATATGGAATTTTGTGGATCATTACAACAAAATCTAACGATTATATAATTCCTGTTGATCGTTTTAAACTCGTGTTGAAAACCAAATATGCTGTCAGACGATATTTTCTTTGATTAGAAAATCGAGACTATTTTGTTAATTTTTGAGTAAATGTGAGTAACGCAAATTTACTCGCTGCAAATATATTTACTCTGAGTACAGCTGTCTTGCCCCCAGCATCCATATGACTGTCCTCCAAATAAAGGATATTTATTTGAAAATTGGCTATAAATCATACAGCACTCAGAGGACAACAATTTAAGAATAGCATGACTTGCTAATACTTAAGATTATATTTATAATTCGATTGTTTACATTTCCATATTAAATAGCTATGAACATCCATTCATCATGGAAACAAAAATCAAAATCACTTGTTGGTAGAGGAAACTTCCACCACCTCAAAATAGACTATCTTCGGTTTACACTGTTTAACTATGTTCGTACCACTTCTGATAGCGATGGCATTGCTTCCACCTCGTTTGTCTGCTCAGATTAGCAAATGACTTTCGATAGAATTATGTACATCATCGTTTTGAATGATTTGGGTTATGGCGCTGAACCAATACCATATGCATTTCAATTTAAGATGACTATCTTTCTGAAGTGAGCATTACGCATTCCAAATGAAATCCCTATACCTTCTCGTAACAGTATCCATCCAGTATCCGAGAAGAAAATCAACTGATTTCAAACAACCGTCATCCGGTGGCAGCTATCATTCGAATAAGCGATTTCAATGTTCCGATTTTGATGACGGTCTGACGGTTCATTCAAACAGAGGACGGTGTTTTGGTACAGTTTAGGGTAGGATTTTCAAACACATGCTTGAGTCTTCCTGGGAAAATATGTTACAATCTAAACCAGTCCGTTATTGTAGAAAATCGTAACAGATAGAACTCGAGCGTAACGGCACGGAAAAAATAATAAATATATTACAATTTGACGTATGCTTGATCCGGTTTGAAAAACAAAGTTAACTGCTTTCGGGGACGTCATTTTATTTGAATAGCTTTTTACCCAGGCTTTGAATATCGTGCGTCATAGCTTGTTGTGATGTAAATGGCACGGTGGCTTTAGAGCAACAGTTTTTGCTTACTGAGCAGAAGATCATGCGTTACCACCCAAACCTCTTTGCATTACTGAGTTGATCAATTCCGGGCTTGTATTATAGAAAACCGTTATTGGTATAACTCAGAGCGAATGGTACGGAAAAAAGAGAAAAATGTTTAGACAATATATGACGTACGCTAGGTACGGTTTAAAAAACATTGTTAACTGTTTTTAGGCAGGCATTTGTTGATTTTTTACTTAAATTTGACACATGGAAAATTTTCAAATAAACCTGTTAGAATAGCAAACTTATTTCTGACAGACAAGAAATCAGTTTTGACAGACACGTTTTCGAAAATTGGCCGATCCACAACAGAGGGGTTTTCGAACATTTCAATTTATTTTCGAAGTGTCAGATTTAAGGAAAAATTCACCAAATGGAACACAGCCTTAGAGACGTAATTTCATTTGTATAACTCCTTTCATGCGGACCTAAAAGATTGTCAGTCGTAGCTTGTTATGATGTCAGGGGCATGGTAGCTTTAGAGCGGCCGTTTTTGAAGACCGTGGATTAGAACACAAGCCCCTTTACAATACTGAATTTTTAGGGTCGACTCATTTACCTTCCAACCATTCCAAACATCGCAAGTCTTATTCGCGTTAATTTCAGAAATCAAAACATTATATAAAACCTACGATCGCATCGCCTATCAAGGTGAATCCTGATCCAACGAACCCAATCTACGAACAAAATATCCCTCCTGTGTCCTTTGTGGGGACGCACAGATAAACACGGTCCTGGTTCTGGTTCTCAACAATCACGGAGTACCAACTATTTGATATGTGCAGTCAGTATAAGCTAAGTCCCTAATCGAAAAGTTCTAGATTGTTTAGTCTATAGTGAAGATGATAATTATGTTGTAAGGATAATGACTCTGTGTTACCTAATATAAAAAATACCATTGTTGGTGATTAAAATAAAATTAGTTCCATCGAAATCACCTTAATTCAATCCAAAAACAAATCCATCGAAATCACCTTAATCCAATCCAAAAAGAAATCCAAAAACAAATCCACCAAGCAACTCTTACTAGTTCTACTTAGCTACTAAATAAATGCAAACCCTTCCAAACTCTTAAACAAAATAACAGTTTGTTTGATTTACTAAGGCCTGTACTCGAAAAAAATGCACCAGACAAAAGTGTTCGCCAAAATTTTATTTTAAGTTGGATTTTCTTGAAACTTTCAGGGAATGAACTAATACATATGGATTATGTTTCGGCTTCGACTTTATTCAATTTCCTTTCCATCGCTGAAAGCCCGCACCTTTCCCTTAAGACCCCTCATAACATTTTGTGCAATGGTGGAGCCGACCTTTTTGGTCACTTTCATCCATTCTTTCTTCAACTCCAGCTCGTTCTTAAACACCTTGGACGATTTTCGAACTTTGGCCTTCATTATGGCTCAAAATCTTTCCACCAGACGAATCTCTGGTGAACTTGGGGGGTTGGCGGTTTTTGGTACAAAAACAACGTTATTGTCTCTGTACCAATCCAACGTCGATCGCGCGTAATGCGCATGATGCCAGGTCCAGCCAAAATAATGTCTCGCCTCCGTGGGACCTCAGGAAGGGCAACAGATGCTTCTGGAGGCACTCGGTGCGGTAAATTTCGCTGTTGATGGTACCCATTGTGATGTACGGTTTACTCAGTTTACCGCATTGGCATATGGCCTGCCAGAGCAAGTATTTTTTGGTGAATTTGTCCACTTTCTTCTTCTTTATGTCTTCCGGAACATCAAACCGTGATTTGGCAACGTAGAACTTCAGCCCCGGTATCTGCTTTGCGTCTGCCTTGATGTAGGTTTCGTCATCCATAACCACACACATCGGTTTCGTTACCACTCTCGATACAGCTTCCTTGCGCGGGATTTGGCAGCCGTGTTGTGTTGATCACGTCGGTTCGGTGCCATCCGGATCTTGAATACACGAAGCCCAGCTCGTTTCATGGTTTGCTGAACGAACCAGGCGGAACACTTTGCCTTCAGAGCCGCGTCGCGAATCGAAAGGTTCGGATTACGCTTGAAATAATCCAACACCTTCCGGGCCTTCACAGGGTCAGCTGTCTTCGATTTTCTTACACTTCGATGTTACCACCCGAGACATAGTAGTATGGGTGATTCCCAGATGTTTTCCGATTCATCTCATGGTCGCAGTCAGATTTTCCATGACGGCGCGCAAAATTCTCCGGCGATTTTCTTCTTGTTTCGATGACATCTCAATAACCACTGAACCGATTGTTATGAAATTTTGCACATGTAAACAATTCATTCCAAACTAGTTATACCCAGATTTTTATCAATCACGGATAAAAAAGTTACACACGGATAAAAATCGTGCATTTTTTTCGAGTACAAGCCTTAATCACCATTTGACTGGCTCACAAAAATAAAAGTTCTAATTTTCCACAGGCCAACCTCTGGATTAGTGCCATTAGGTGAGAAAAGCCTCCTCTGAAAATTTCAGCCTATTTGGTTCTAAGATGAGCTGGCACTTTTAGTTTGAATTTTGTATGGGAATCTTCGAAAAAATACATGAACAAATTGGACTCCTACACTCTTTCGATCATAACACGGTTTCCTTATCCTCGATTTGATTCAGATTTTCAAAACTTGTAGTTCAGTTAATGAGTAACAACTATGCTGAAGATTGCATCATGAATCCAGTAAGTTTTAATGAGATATTCGCTTTTGAATATACATGAGCAACTAGTAATAAAATTGCATGAACGAGGGATGCTCCGGTTGCAAAACAAAGCTTGGAAACGTGCATGATAGAGGATGCTAGTGTGCATGCAAAATACGCTTGACGATATTTTTTGAAGAATTTTCTTCTAAGATTTATGTCTGTTTGTCTGTGATTGTGACCTTTCCAAACTGTATGTATTTAATAAAGAATATTGTTCTTTCATACAACTAAACATATATCACACTTTTTCACTCATTTCACTCACTTTTTCATAGTTTGGAGCAACCTAGACAAGTTTATTTACATGAAAAAGTTATTTTTTTACTCCCCTTCAAAATGAAACCTCGTGTGATTAAATGAAACAATTGAATGGGTAAAAGATGTCATAAAAATCAGCTGACTTAAAGGATGTTACGATCAAAATTTGGTCGACTTAAACTTGACGCATTTCCTTTAATCGAGCATTTAAAAAAACCTGAATACCCCTCATTTTGTAGGTGTGTGCGTACAGAATGGTGCCACTATTTTGATTTTGGCATTTGCTCTTCAGTTATCAAAATGGCGTTCAGGAGCAACGCATCGCAGAAATCAATCGGGTTTCTGTGGAATATTATTATTTTCGAATAAGAAACAAAGCTCATTTACAGTTTTCTGTAGATCTACAACCGTTTTTCGTTACAATTTTAACTGGGCATAGTAGTCAGGAGCAAAACTGACTTTTTTGAGTTTACTGGCGGTGAATCTTGAAATGGTTTAGTGAGGGTGTGAACTCCAATTAGCCCTCATTTAAATTCAGAAAAATGTGGTAAGATTTGAACAATGCTTATCTTGCATCCGTTCTTCCAGGAATTCCAAAAATCCTCCGGGGGGAAGTGGTCGGAAGACTCGGAACATAACTTTTTCGTTGCATGCGCTTGGACTCCACGTGTGAAGAAAATCACCTGTAGTTCAGGTAATTCAGCATCCTTAGATTTTAAACGAACAATGTTTTGCTCACAACAATTGACATTTATGTTAAGATGACGTCTGCCGGTCATCGACGTCGATGGGAAGCGACACTAGCGCCACCACAATATTGCTAGTTTCAAATATCTATTGAAAATAGTAGTTAAATTTCTTACACACTTCAGGAATTTGACTTGGATGTCTGTTCTCTGTGATTTAACTGAATACTGGCCTGGTGCAAATGGTTAGCATCCATACATTTCACGCTGAAAGAATTGAGTTCAAATATCATCATATGAATGTGTTAAACAAAACAACTAAACTATAATCGTTAGTTGAACGACCGATGAACTTAAATGATAACAAAACTTTAACAGCAAAGCTTGAAGTTAAGTTACTCATATTTAAAAAGCAATTGACAGTATTATGAAAGTACAATATGATACCAGACTAGCAACTGCAAACTTTAAAATCGATTTGCTATCATTTTGTTAGCCGACTTTACTTGGGCCGTGTGTCGTTATATACTTAGATTATATGTCAGTCTTTATGATTTAAATAGGGAAACTGTGGCAGAGCTTGATGTAATGAGATTGCCTGATAATAAGACTAAATAACAAGCCGAAATGAAAACTAAATTCAAGTTCTTCATTCCATTATTTAACGTCGGTCTCTATTCCGCAATCGACTGCCAATCACCGACGGACATCGATTGCCATCCATTGACGACAATCGAATGTGCAGGAAGGTAGTTTCCACACCTGCGTAGGATATCGCATCCTTTCAACACACATGGGCCGGGACCAACAGCTTTACTTGCCTTCCAAAGGGAAGACGTCACTAGAGATTTTTATGCCTCAGAAAAATCCCACCGACCTCGGCTGGGATTTAGCCCAGACCCATTGGGATGAGAAAGCAGTTACGCTTACCACTACACCAACGGCGCCGACTAAATTAAAGTTATAACGCAATATTTGCACAGTCATTTTGCATGTAAAATGTTATGATAATCGCGAATTTATGTTTATGTAACCTTTACTAGCTACTGTACCTATCAACCGAAGGGTTCCAGCTCGAGTCAATAAACTGGTTTCTCGGAGAGCGCGCGCATCAAAGTGTTTACAATTAGAGGTAAAGAGCTTAGATTTCACTTGTCGGGATTATCAACAAATCCGCTGAAGTTGTATTTTTTGCACTACCGAGTTATCAGTAAATAATGAAACAACCAAAACATACGGCATATGCACGGATCTAAAAATGACGATTCCATGATTTCCATCCAAGTGAATTTCAATCTAAGTGTGCCGATATTTGGTGTTCCCAGCATGTTTTATGGCTTTTTCAACAACTTTGCCAAAGACACCAACTTTTCATATCCAATCATTCAAGTGTTAGTGGTAGAGAAAATTTGCTTTCATACAAAATATGGTCTTGATAGTTATGAACAAAATCTCTCAAGACACCACAGCACAAACATTGAAACTCTTATAGATGTGTAGTGTAGTGTAGTCACTCAACTCACCTCAATATAGTTGTACATAGCCAAGTCGCAGATCGCATGCGCATCGTCCCACCGTGTCTCACTATACTCGGCCAGTATCCGATCGGTATCGCTTCCATGTTTATTGAACAGCTCCGTCAACACCGTACAGTCCTCGAAGCCAGCGTTCATTCCCTGCCCGTAGAAGGGAACCATCGCGTGGGCTGCATCTCCGATGATCACCGCCTTTCCACCCACATTGTACGGCTTGCACTTGATCATCACCAACGGCTGTGGCTTGATCTTGAAGAAATCCTTAATCAACCGTTCCCGTCCGATCAGATCGATCGCGTCCGGGAAGTAGGTTTTGAAGAACTGTAGCAGGTCCCCTTCGCACTTAATACTGGTAAAGTTGGTAAACGGCATGAACAGCGTCACCGTCCAGGTGCGATCCTGGTTTGGCAGGGCAATCATCATAAACTTGCCCCGGGGCCAAATGTGCAGAAAGTTGTGTGGCATTGCAAACTCTCCGTCCCTGGTCGGTGGAATGCACAGCTCCAGGTAACCGTGCTCGATGTAGGTCTGGCTAAAGTCGTACCCCGGACGTTTGACGATCTCCTTGCGAACTGCACTGTACGCTCCATCGCAACCCACGATCAGGTCGGCTTTAGTGCTGGTAGTTTCCTTCGTCGCTGGGCTGAAATTCAAAAAAATGTGATGAACTCATCATCCATCAATTAAACCGATTAACTGTACTCACTCAATAAAACTCATTTCACCTTCATCCAGATTGGCCGAATTTAGTTTTTTGTTGAAGTGAAGGCTGATATTCGGGTACTTTTCCGCAGCTACAAATAAACAACCACATTATCAGTTCGCCTTACGCAATAAAAACGAAGAAATTTATCATGTTTCCATGCTGCCGCGGCTTCACAGCACGACCGTAAGGAAGCCCACTAACTAACCGCTGACCATATTCAGAACCACCTTCGTCGGTTGGTGTGTGTAGCCGAGACCGATCAAATTTCACCCCAAATACTACACCCTACACTCACCATCGAGAAGCACCTCGTTCAGATGCTTTCGCCCGACCGAGTAGATGCACTGGTTCGTGTTGGCATCGTAGGGGACAATCTTACGGTTTCCCTTCAGATCGTGTAACATGCGTCCCTTCATCGGAATGCCATGCTGCAGGAGGGCGTCCTCCAGGCCCACCTCGGCCAGGGCTTTGCGGCCCCGGGCCGACAGCGCCAAGTTGATACTGCGACCGATGACCAGCTCGGCGGTGCGGATGTCTGCGGGTGGTATTAGGGAAGACGAGGACGACGGTGAAAGGGATTATAGTGAGCTTGAATGTCACCGACCATGCGGCGATGTCCGTGACAAATTAGCGGAAGTATTTAAGTGATAGGTATTCATGTTTTCGTACCTTCTCTGTACTCGTACAGGTCTACCGTGTGTCCTTTTTTGCCGAGATGTATCGCTAGCAGGGAACCGACCTTGAGTAAAGAATTTAAGAAGTTATATGTTAGCGGTGTATTACAGATAAATCTCAAAACATCAAATATTACTTCAAGAATATGTACCTACACAGAAATGAAAAAAAAATCCAAAGTTTGGGCTTGAAAAACTCAAAATTTAGTACAATTGTTGAAGTCTTGAATTGAGTAAAAGTTAACGGTGATGTTGAGGCATGTTTACTCAACGATTGAGTGAATGATACAAAACGTATTAAGGACTAAAAATAGACTTATTATATTTTTAAATGTACCTCACGCATCACAATTTTAATTAATGTGTGTATTCTATAAAAAATACATAAACATAAACGGCTGTTGCTTTTTAACTATTGTGCCAAACGACTTGAAATGCTCAATGAGGATTGTTTCGTCCGCCCACATGTAATTTTTATCAAGGTCTGAGCGGTGATTTTTCTCGATAAATAGTCATGAACAGTGTTGGAAAAATATCAAAAAATCAAATCTAACCACATCTGTGTGTGGATGGATACATCTTTAGTGCGTACGGTTGTTGCACATATGTTCGACTTGTGTTCAAACAGCCAGTTAATAATAGTTGTAGATTTGAAGGTTTTCATCCAATTACATTAGATGAACTCAGCGTTATTTGTTTTTCATTGGGAAAATGGGCTGGAGAGTTTCGTCCCATCAACATGTTGCACACATTAGAGAAAATTTTAGAACTTGTTGTTAAAGGCCAGCTGTTGGAGTATTTAAATAGTAATAGTTTGTTGATACCAGAACAATCGGGATATCGGGAGGGTCATTCTTGTGAAACCGCGTTGAATTTGGTATTAGCGAAGAGGAAAAATAACTTGGAGTGTAATGATGCGATTGTTGCTGTTCTTTGGATCTTAAACGCGCCTTTGAAACAATTTCTAGACCCTTATTGTTAAGATCAATCAAGCGCTTTGGAATTACGAGTACTGCATATAAATGGTTTGAAAGCTATTTGTCTGACAGAACTCAACGGACTGTTTTTAATGATTCTGTTTCCAGTCCCGTGGGGAATAACCTTGGAGTACCCCAGGGAAGTGTATTAGGGCCCCTGTTATTTATTATGTATATTAATGACTTCCGTACGTGTTTTACGATTTTGAGACATTAATCTTTTTGCAGATGATACTGTGTTATTCATTGCAGCTAAGGATTAAGATGATGCCGTTTTACACTTGAATGAAGATTTGCGTTCTCTAGAAGATGGTTGAAGTATAAGCAGTTGAAATTGAATACAAGTAAAACTAAATTTATGGTTATTTCGCGGAATAGAGTAAATGAGAACGTCTCTGTTGTAATTGATGATGAGACTATTGATCGCGTTCGGGAGATTACATATCTTGGCGTGATTATTGACGACAACCTTAAGTTCAACTCTCACATTGACAATGTCATCAAGAAAATTGCCAAGAAGTATGGAATTCTATGTCGATTGAAAAACGATTTAACTATTGCCAGTAAAATACAGCTATACAAATCAATCATCTCTCCTCATCTAGACTTTTGCCCTTCCATTTTATTTTTGGCCAATGCAACACAAAAATCGAGATTACAGCGTTTGCAGAATAAAGCAATGCGTTTGATTTTAAGATGTAATAGATTCACTTCCTCAACTTTGATGTTAGACGCATTACAATGGTTGTCGGTGAAGCAAAGAATTGACTATGGTGTTCATTTTTAAAGTAGTTAACGGTTTGCTGCCTCGATATTTGTGTGATCGAATTGAAAGAGGAAGTGACTTAGAAATACCTAATCTTACTCAACGTAAACAAACATGTCATGTAGAACTAAGTGCTCCGTGACTGAAAAGTTCGAAAATACGTTTGATTGATCCACTGGCGTAGCTAGAAAATTTATCTGGAGGGGCCACTACGGTTAAATAAAAACTCAAATTGCGCCAAGGCAACTTATTTTTGGGTACATTGTTTTCTGTGACGAATAATATGGCATTGAGGCTTACTATTATTTTGATGGTAAAACAATAAATTTGACTATATTTATTCCATAACAACGATTGGGACCTCGATTGGGAGAGCCTTAAACGCTTACTGATTTTGAACAAGCAATGATCGTTTGTCCATGGTTTTTGTAATGAAATCACAGTCCGGATCTTGTAAACGTAAGCATCTCAAACTTAAGAAAATTCTCAGAGTTAGGTAATTTCATGAATTTTGTAACTAGCTTTTTTTAGATTTTGAATATTTCACCATCAGTCAATTCTCAGGCATAGGAACCAAAATTAAATTCTAGGAGTTTGTATTTTGTAATTTTATAAATAACCTTGAAACAGGGTAAAGTGCACACAGAATAAATTAAATACATTGAGGATGTAGGAAAATGTTCAAGATGCACAATTTTTTGACGTAGGACTCGTCTGTGATTTCTATATGGGGGTACAATTTGTGAAAACCGAAAATGAAACATGTAACGAAATTATGAAAGATTTTGAACGTTAATAACTCAGCTGCCACTGGACCAATTGCAAAAATTTTATCACCAATCGATCAGCAATGCTTCCAACTATTGATTTTCAACAAGAAACTATTGAAAAAAAAGGGAAATGTCAAGCATTGTCCAAAAGCGTCAAAATAACTAACAAATCCACCAATTATGCTGCAGATGCACAATTCTTAACATTGTGAATGGTAAAATAAAAATAGTTTTGGGATCCCAAGCCCATATGTTTTCAATATTTTGTAACCAATAAAAATGGATATTTCTTATACAGATTGTAAGCATAAATTCATTCGAATACAAATGTTAAAAGTAAACGAATTTAGATCAATTCAAGACCAACAATTGAAATGGCCTCAACTCCATTTTATAAACACATATTGTAAGGTCATTTTCTCGCGAACCAAAGGCCGCCAACGCAAAACAACAAAATGGACAGGTAGTGAAAATTCTCTTCTACCCGGTTGTGTGGTAGGTTTGTGAATGTAGGTTTCGGTTCGAGAGAAAATGGCCTCACAAGGTTTGTTTACAAAATGGAGTTGAGGCCTTTTCAATTGTTGGTCTTGAATTGTCCTAATTATAAAATTAAGATTAAATTGCAAGATCCTTCCTAGACAGTCATTTCATAAAAATTCTAATAATTTTTAATTCAAATAAGAATTTTAATAATTATATTTGTTTCTCCTGGATGTAGGCAATATGTGCAACCATATAATCCGTTGTATTGCTTCATGTTCTGTACTTTGCACCTCGCCACGGAATCAAGATTTACTTGTAGCAATGACACCGAGTACATTTTTCCATCAATGTTCATTCCAGTATCCTTTAACCGTCGTAGCTCTATGCAAAAGTACTTAAATAATAAATTGGTGTTTGGTTCACCCTTCGAAAGCCACAAAGCACTGACAATCAAGTTGTGTTTTGAATATCGAACATTGGGAGGCAGGTTATTCAAAGTGACAAATACGGGATATAATGGTTTTTGTGTCGTGCATTTGAAAGTGGCGGCTCCGTCTGTATTAGCACTCAACGTAAGACACTCCCGTGATCCTGGTGGGCAAATTTTTCGAATAAATCTTCCAAGTTTAACATCCGCGATTTCATGTTTTTCAACATGTTGTGCGTACTCATCAATTTTGGTTTTATGTTCAGTAACAAGCTCTCGTATTTGTGGCTCAACGGGAATAGAAATGAAAAAGTCTTTTGCTCTGGATCCGCAAATTGGGCATTCGGTATTCGCTTCTGGAGAAGTTGTGCCAGAGGCATATTTACAATTGATGCAGAAAAATACACGTACTGAATTGTAAGGATTTGATTTGAAATTCGACATAAAAGTAGAAAAACTTTCAGGAAATAGTTTTATTCCTGAAATAGTATTGAGCATCTTCAGTAAGTCTTCCAGTGCAGTCTGTGTAATTCCATGCCGTACATAGTAGTTAAGAACCATGTACAAAATATCCTTGACTTTTAGGCCAGATACTGATATGAAGGGTTTTTTATGGAAGCTTGAAAATAGCTGACAGCAAGAAAAATATTATATAGTTAGTCATCTTCTACTTATCCTAGGTATGTTATTACGTATACAATTTATTGGTCAACCTACTATCGGTAAAGCACTAGCCATATCCAACATTTCATCGTTGGCGTCCTGCTCTGAGTGCTCAGCATCAGAATCTGTAGGTTCATTATTTAGAATCATCGATTCATTTAAACTGTGGTGATTGCTTAGGTCATGTATCATCGTATTTTCCGAGGCTGGATCTGAGTGGTCAGATTCAGATTAGGCCCATCATTTAAATAAACCGTTTTATTTAAATTGCGATGGTTGTTTTTTTTCCGAGGCGGGATTAACTTCAATGAATTCAGGTTCATGGTCTGAATACATAAGTTCAACAGTTTCTAATCCTGATGAACAGATGGGATCCTTAACAATGTTTCGCCTGGGCTGCACAAGATATTAGGTAGTTTTTGATATTTTTTCTATCCGACATACGTACCTTTTTGACATATTTCCGTCCATAGTACTCGGGTGACAAATAAAATTGTCGTCTTCGTCGCGCACTCATGGTAATTTATTAATTAAATAAACAACGATTTTATTGAATAATACTTTAAACCAAACCATCAGAGTAGTTTTTATTTATGCTAAGATAAGATTAGACAACTGGTTCATTTTTGTTTTAAAGTATTCTTCTTCTCTCGCAGAACCGACCGTGCAATTAATTCTGGTCAACACGACTGACTATCAAAACACAAGAAAAAAGATTATCTGTTGTTAAAATCTTCGGGTTGTATACGTTCGGCCGATATACGTGAACTTCAAATTGAGCAACAGGAGTTGGTTCGCATTTGATGGAAAACTGGTTCAAAAAAGGTCCCCTACTGCTCATCTTATCTTAGGATTTATGAAGAATAGCAGATGACGTATGAGAGCTATTTCACAGTACACAGGTCTGCTGTTGTTATGGATCTTGATGATGACGTCACAATCACGGTCCATCGTATTTCATTGCAATGTTTATCTTTTT